TTTGTTGTGGCAATTCTCAGGATGAAAACAGTTTTGCTGAGTCTGTAAATTAGCCACCAACCTCTCATCAGTTGACTGCTTTCTAGCATAGTTAGCATGCTTTGTTGCAAAGTGACGGCTCATTCTTTAAAAACTGCAACAGTTTCCTGGCATATCAGACATACAGCCGTTGATCGGACGTCAGTGAAAAAATATTTTGCTGTCCACTCCTTATTAAACACTCGGCACTCACTGGCCACTTTTCTTTTCTTTTATCCGCTCATTTTTACAAAAGAAGAAAAACTTTTAGCTCAAACATTTTCTCAAACAACGTCCACATAAGTGATCTAGACGTGTTAGAAAAGTGATTTATCAACACCGGTTTGGGATTTAACCCTAAATATAGAGCCAATTCGCTAAAATTACAGAATGTTTATCTAGGATAATCCAAAGAGCACCTGAATGCATCATAACACACCACACTCCAACAAGGGTCATTGGGCGCAATCTAATGGGGAAACATGGTTATTGCAGGGACGTCAAAATGAATGCGATTTAATAATAATTAAATTTGATAACATAGTTTGAACAAGTCAGGTGGGTTGGATTAAAAAGCTTAACGGGCCGTATATGGCCCGCGGGCCGTAGTTTGCCCATGCCTTGTCTAGCTCCAACTGCTGCTGGCTGAATCCAGTCTTAGCGCAGTGACAGATGTCATGTTAATGGTTGCCTGTGGTTCCTGGATTGACAGTATGGCACCGATATCAACAGGGAGCGAGGAATCAAGCCCCTTGCTGGGAGAAACCTCAGCCATTTGAATTTTTCAAATAGAACTTGCATGGGAGGAGAGAGAAAGCCTATGGAGATTGGATCTCCCAGGAGGAAATCGCATCTGGCTTTCACATTATCCTGTTACCTCCAAGTACATGTTGTTCTGGTAAACTGTATGAAGATCATATAATATTAAATGAACTGCTGATGAAGTGATTCCTTCATGTAAATGAAGAAAATGGCTCTATGGTGTGCAATATGTTGCTCTCACCACTGGTGACTTTGATTGATTGATAGTCACACATCGGTGGTTTTAGAAAAGTAAAAACACAGATGTGATGTTTATTCCCCTTTCAAAAAAAATAAATAATTATCTGTGTGTAGAGATTACTTTTTACAAAGAATGGAAGAAAATCTAATCTAGTGTCAGGCAATGACTCGGTTCATTCAAAATATATTCTATATTCTAAATCATTGTAACATTTACACCTGCCAATTAGATCCATAATTATGTTGTAAGTCCAACAAATAGCCTTCATCTTCCTTGACGTATTAATTATAATAACTACATCCAAAATATCTTTGAGTAGCTATAAATTCCAGCTGCTTTTTAATTGATTTTCAAATAAATAATCGCTCGCTGTAAATGCTTTTCTTATTGCATTGGGTGTGTCTGGTGAAGTATAAACTTGCTGCTGAACCATTTGTCACGCCGGGAAATCAGGTTACAAAGACAGAACCTGAGTTGAAACCCAGAGTGTTATTTTATCCATCCTGCACAGTGAGGGACCGATGCTAACAATCATGTTGGCTAGTTCTGTGACTGCATGGAGAGGTGACCCTGCCATTTTCCTCTCAATTACTGGAGGAAGCATTTGACTGGTGCACAACAGGAAGGAAAGGGAGAGGGGGGTGGCTTTATTCTGGGTGAAAATACCAGTGAGGGTCCATGGCATTCAAATTTGCAGGGCTTAATAGCCTCGGCGATGGACAGAGGAGAGTGGTGAAGAAGAATCGCTTAAATTCAGGACCGGAATGGGTGACAAGGTCATCAGACCAGTTTGGCATAACAAAGATACATCACATGCACGCAGAATGAAAACAAGCCTATTCCAATTCAAGTCTTCCCCCTCTCCAATTCAGTGACTTGAATGTCAACTATAACTGCCTGGGAAAGCAGAGACTTTGCAGAGACAAAACACCATCTCATGGCACTGTGTGTATAAATACGCATGGCAACTGCCGTGACACTGATTCACAAACCAATGAAACAAATTAAACCAATTCCAGCTCCTGCTAAAAATATGCAACTGGGATACAAACCATGAAGCTGACATGGAACCCAGTCAAGTGAGCACTATACCAAGAATGAGTAATTTGTACTTCTACTTGCCCTCCACACACATACAACACACACTTTGCTCCAGCTCTTGTTTGGAGACAAGCTTTTTGAAGTCTGGATGAGCATTTGGGAGCCAGTTAGTTCAGTCAAGCATTAAGTTGGCTGATGCCGATTTCTTTTAACACGCTGTGGTTGCACGACTGTTTGCCACTCACTTTCATTGCAGAGCATAACAGGCCCATCAACTTCGCATCATTAGCTAAATACTTCCTCTGCAAAGAAAAGCTGATAGTTTAGTTCATATTTTATTATTTAACTGTAATTACAAAGTTGTGTTCTGAAGTTGCCTCCCCAGTCACTATTTAAGATAAGTGTTCTTTAATTCTGATAAAAAAACACAATATTTTACTGAATGTAAAGAGTCCTGACCAAGGCTTCTCTTGGGGGCTTATACATATATTTTTTTTCTCATCACAAAAACACTGTTGTTATCAGACCTAAACAAACAAAGTTCATTTTAACTTGACACAACATATACAACAATACGTTTTCCCCAACTTGCAATTTAAAACCCAATTAATACAACATATAATCCTTTATAGAGCTCATAGAACAACTCACAAACTCTTCAATATGGGATTGGAAACAATATGTGATTCTCTAATAATAGCAAATCCCCTTAATGTCCACATGCAATAGATGATTATTTCCATGGCTCCTGGACCTGTACACTACTTCAGTCATTCTGGTTGGAGGGTCATGCATGATGCCACATACTCAGCAACCACTTGTGTCAAACCATGTCACTCCTGGCTGACCTTTTTATGCTTCATATCACATGTATTACACTCAAAATCATTTATTTTAATGGTATTAACTGTGGCTAAGAAGATCATAATAAAGATCATGTATATATAGAAAAAAAGAAGAAATGAAACCATTCCTTCAGTATTTCAGGACCTGATTCCTCAACAACCCCGAACAGCCTTCAACTTAACAGTCATACTTACGATTCCATCTCTATAACACAATAAGCTTATTGCTTTCAAAATGGTTGTCATCTGTCATGTTAATGTCCTGACATTAAGGAGTTTAGTTACAATGTGACAGAATTAATTTTGAACATGTGGATGTCATTATTGTACTGTTATTGTGTCTTGCTGTTTACATAAGATAAGATGTTCCTTTATTGATCCCCCGTGGGAGAAATTCAAGACTTTAACCAATCATATATAACTGGATCTGCATCCACATGTAGCCAACCATTGCCACAATATTTCAATTTTTCAGTTTCTGTCATGCAATAGTACAGTTGTTAACTTCAGGAAGTCGCATAACTACATGATGACACAAAATTGTTTCTTGTCATTAATTCCTTTAAGATTTTCTCAGTACAGAAACACTTAAAGTTCTGCAGTGAGTACAAGTGTATTTTGATTTTGATTTTGTATTAGGAATTTGTACCAGACAAAAACCCTCCAGACACAAAGGCGGTAAATGCAGAAACAAGAGTCATGTTAATTAACAGCAAAACATACAGCGTGATGTCACCTTTGTTTTTACACACACCAACCACAACAGTCTGTCTGGCCTAGGTAAGGAAATGCAAACCCACTTCAATACTTCTGTCTCATGCTCTACATCTCTAAAAGTAGATTTGTTTCACACATCGTCCCTGAGCAAACGGAGAACAAAAAGTCTGTACAAACAATGTTTACTCTGACACATCACACAGCATACTGGAATGTACTAACATTACTGTGTGCCTTGTCATGGTTGTTGACATATATATATATCTACAAGAATCCATATTCATAGTTAGAAGTTGGCAGTGTTTCAGAGGCATAACAGACATTTCACATACTGTAACACACATTTATCACATATCTCACATACAAGCTTGAGAGAGGTTATTGAGATAGGGTGAGAGTATTTAAATGGCAGTTCAGAAGGCTTAAGACTATTAAAGGTGTACAGATTAAGTTAGCACCAGTTGTGTTAAATTACAAATACAATATAATAATACTCAAACAGTCACATAAATCACTTAATTTTAGCAAACAATTTTGCTGACAAACATCTTCTTGTCTCAGAATATAAGAAATATGTTCATTTCAAAAACACTATACAGCTACAATAGAAGTAAAACATCATTACCTGAAGGTCAATATTCATAATCTTTATTATATTGAGCATCAAGTCTATAAAAGTTAATTATTTTATCAGGCAAAGAATACCAGTACAGCCTTTCTGTAAGAGCAGGAGTCACTCACACATATTGGGTATCACATTTTAGTTTTAAATTCTTCAAATATTGCTACAAAATGTCAGCATCCACTTTTTAAAGAATGTACTGAGTCATATCATAAAAACTTGTTTTGATATCACTTTTCTTCTTCCTTCAAATGAAACAAAGATTGGCACTTTTCTGTCACAGAGGGATGCAAGGAAAACAATTTTGAGCTCTGACCTTTCAACATCGCTGCTGCATGAACAGCCCCAGGGGAGGAAGTGTCCTTTCTTATTAACAGTACAATATCTAATGTGTCCCATCAAGCTTATTGTTTCACACAGCAATAAACTCCTGACCTCATACCGGCGTGGTCCTCCTGTTCACTCCATCTTTTAGATCTTTCTGAAAGCAGTTGTGGACTTGTAAAAACCCAGAGTCCCTCTCTGGACTGTAAGGCCCTGCAGTCGCACTTCCACCCTTCAGAGGGTCCCTACTGAGGGCATACAGGGATATATCTCCCATTGGCAAACCCATCCCCAACCCTCCTCCTCCTCCACCACTTCCTCCACCGATCTTCATCCCCAGTGGGGAGGGCTCGCGGGACGGGTCACTTGACCTCGAACTGGAGCGTGAGCGCCTTCGTCTGTTGCGGTAACTTGGGATGCGAGAGTATGGCGAAGAAGAGGAGGTGGTTTTGATGAAGTCGCGTCGGGCTCGGAAGCGGGTCTCTTTGTTTTTCTCAATATATATGTTGACTGCGAGAACACCCACTGATTCAGCCACGATGAAGGAGAGGGCGCCGAAGTAGAAAGACCAGCCGTAGTTGTAGTGGTTCTTCTTGTCCTCGTCCTTCTTGTCACTGGGATCTCCCGCGTTACTGGAAATATAGACAATGATGCCGATGATGTTGCTCAAACCTGAGGAGAAAAAAGAAGGAGAGAAGGAGAGGGGATGAAGAGAATTAATTGGGTATTTGAAAGAAAAGCCAATGGATGTTAAAGTACAAAAGTGGATGATAATGCCTCCAGATTTTGTTGAAATATAGAAACATTCAGGGTAACTTTAAAAGAAAGGGACAGAACTTAACACAGACACCAAAGGGAAACCCTCTTGAATTGTCATTGTCTTCTCATGTTCCTGTTTATATCCCTGTTCTTTCTGTCTGTGGCACTGCACAGAATCTATTTGTTGTCCCACCAGTTTGTGTGTTTATCTACAGTATACTGTCAGTCTCGTCCTACCTGCAGCCACAAACAGGATGCCAGCACTTAGCACAATGTTGTTCTTGTTGCTGTAGATGCGTCCAACCCCGACACACAGGCCACCCAACATCAGCAGAATGGTGCTGAGAATGGGAAATAGGCTTGATGCACGCACTATACCTGTTCATAGGAGAGAGACATACAGTGAAGCCTTCTTGTCAGTGTGTATGAAGAAATACATCACTTTGAATATATAAGATAATGGCTGGGCAGCATGGCCTTCGTTGATAATGATAATATTTAAACTAAAGAAATGGTAATTAAAGTTGCAAGTTTTAGTTAGTCATAGTATTAGATATAATGTAATTGTTATCATTAATACAGTAGTAGTGTAGTAGTAATAGTCTGGGCAGTATTAGTAAAAGAAGCATAAATATATTACTTTTTAATATCCAACATTCACTTGCTTTTCGCTCTGTTTTGGTTTTCACCAACTCTGAGGAAAATATCTGGATCTCTAAATCCTCTACTGTATTTACCAGCTACTCAATTTTGTCCGTCTGCTGTTTGGTGCTGGGCATTGATGTACAATTCTTTTTTTAAAATGGCTTAAAGACTCTAAAATGCTCCATAGAGCGGACAGGAACTGCAGAGTACTGTGATAAATTACTGTTTTTTCTTCACTACTCCTTTTAACAAGAAATGTGTCTAGCAAAGGTGTTCTTCCAAAAGGATTATAAATTATAAATTATTATTATAAAAAATTATAGAAAGAAATAGAAAAAAATAATATGGGTTTTCTTATCCCTTAAACCAAGGGGAGGCAAACTGTGTCAAAAACAAGTATCCTACTATATGTACATGCATTTCTGCGAAGATTACGAACATGTAGTATGAGAGGAATGCTTCCATGGATACTAAGGCCCGAATAACAGACGTTCCTGCTTTTCTGTGACACTAACCAAGTGAGTGCAGGATTTCATTTCCATGAGCTTATTGAAATTCATCAATATAGACAACAGCAAAGATGGGAACAGTTGCTTTGGGGCACAGGGAATCAAACTAGAAATCAAATGTGATATGCAGAGTGAGAGTGATCTAAAACCTTAAGCAAAATGGATAGATTACAGCAAGAACTGTAATAACCTAGACTACCCTTGGTTTTTAGACAATTTTCAGTGTAACTGCTCGAGTGACAGGTCTTCGTCAAACTACCTTGGTCAAATGCGAGATATGTTCTTACGTGGGTTATGTTTTAGACCAGCCCTATTGCTCACCAGCCCATAACACACTTCATCATCTCCATAGCTCCAATTACTGTCATGACATCAGGCTTTTTATGGGGGAGGGATACAGATGTCATGACACATTAAGTACCCTTGTGATAACTCCATCGCCACATGAGGGAAAAAAGGAAGGATTAAGGGTTGAAGGTTTGAAGATGAAGAGGTTGCAATGACTTACGTAAGATGTACTCTGAGCTGTCTGTATCGTAGTCGTTATCCTCTGGAAAATGATTGATCCGAAAACAGCTTCCTTTGTTGATACCTGCAGAGAAGCCAAAAGCAGTGTGAATATAACTGATGGTAGTAACAGCCTGTGCAGGGACATAATGACAACAGTTAAAGGAAAATACTGTGTCTTTATAATGGGGTTGGACATGAGAGGCTCCAAATAAGATAGAAGGTACAAAAAGAACAACCTGTTGACCATCCACTAAACCAAACTGCAACTTTTATTATCCTGAGACAAATAAGTTATAGAAACTCTGTAAAGTTTTTTTTTGGTAAAGAATTTCTAAGCTAGTGCTGAACTGTCTCGTTTCCACCTCTAACCATGTCAGAGACCGTTTGAGGACAGGCTGCTGTGGATCTGAGATTCTTAACTTCTCAAGCCCTCAGGCACCTTCTATTCAAAGACCCAGTCTCTTTACTAAGAAAATCTTCCTTCCACTTTTAAGAGAATAAAACATAGGAGTATTATGAATATTGAAAGGTTAGACATTAGAAGTCAAAAGCCTGATTTTTGCCGTATCCTGTCATTTCTGCCTTTTCTACTGCGCTAGTTGTTCTGGAGCCATGCTAGACACTTAGAAACGCCTGCTGATGTGTCAATGTAAATGCATCATCTGTATGAAGCATATGTCTAAAAACATAACCCAGACTTAACACAGCTTGGAGTTTCTCATATACTGCAATAAACTGTAAAAATATAACAGCAGGGGGCGCCCTGGTAGGTCACCTGGTAGAGTGTATACCATGTAACAAGGCTGAATCCTTAGCACAGTAGCCAGAGTTTGACTCTAGTCCAGGCCCTTTGCTGCATTTTTTCTCTCACTCCCGCCTTTCCTGTCTCTCTAATACTTTACAATTGGCAACCAAATAATCCTACTACTCAATTATAACCACACTGCTGTTGGTTACGTCCTAATAAATTCTTACTTAATTTAAATTAGAATAAATTGCTGATGTGAAAATAAGTCCTAATCAGAAGATTGGAAAAGCCCATATATTCAAACATTTCTTGCCAACCAAAGGTTAGACTTGTTTGAAGTGTTCAGATAAACTGCTGATTATTTCCTCCATGCCAGCAGCCAGTCGTAGTGCAAGTTCTGTCAGATAATGTTATTCAAGAGGAATTAAAATATTATTCTGAATATTTACATACTGTACACAAAGTTGTAGGCACTGGTGTTAGGATGAACCAATTTGAAATTAAGGAAATTTGAATTCCTCTTCTAACCTGGAAAAAAAATCATACTCTAGCAGATTTGCTTGATTTAAAGGTACCCTGTTAAGTTTTTGACCACTAGTAGTGCTATGGGGCAATTTTGTCATGAGCAGGTCAGACTTTTGTTTGCACGCACCTGCCAAAGGTTTCACACTAAAGGCCTACCACTATTTGACAATTAGCAGCAGTAATACGCTAAGAAACATAACAATGTGCCAGCAAAGGTAAGGAAAAAGAAACTAGCAAAACTTTAAAGCCACTTTACTGTATGTTTCAGTCCTATCTGTGGCTCACTGTTGACATTCAACCTTTTTTAAATGTGCTATTGCAAATAGACTGTAGCTACCGTTAATTATATATATTACTTTATATTTTATCTTTTATTTTATTTTTAATTATATTTTTACGGTCAGGGTTTTTAATTTTAGTTTAATTTTAGTTTAATGTATGTTTAATGTACATTTAATGTATGTTTTGTATTTTGTATGCTACTGGATACTTGAATTTCCCTCGGGATAAAGAAAGTATCTATCTATCTATCTAGACAGCAACTTTTCTGTGATGTCTGGGGTTTTTGAGGGGCGTTCACTGTTTGCTGTGGGTTTAGCCAGTGGTCTGTTGGGTTGCGGCTACAAAATACAAATAGGTGTGAACATTAGCTGACTAGTTGCAATCACAGGCTGGTTTTTCTATGGCTTTATGCATCCTGGTTAGCATAGGCTCTGGCTAAATGGCATTTTGTTGTATACAGCTCATAGATGATGGCTCATGTGCTACGAAATCCATTCACCACGTTTGTTAGGCCATGAGGACACATAATGTGTTTTGGTGACAAATGCTGAATGTAAACAAAACAATGGTTGTCTACACACAGCACCGTTAACATGATTCTTACTTAATATTGCAACATGATTTCCTTACAGCCATCAGCGAAAAATTCAATGTCACATTTGTCTGCTACATTTTTATGGTTAATGTCTGAGACAGCTGGGAAAGAGAGTGAAAGGAAAGCAGAGAGAAAGTGATGAAACATCCTTAGCAGCCCAGACTCAGTCTGCCTTCACTGACTCGACTCTTTCAACCTCACTCTTTCAGTCTCTTTCAACTCTCGTTGTTTTTTACAACACTCTTACCACTATCATGTCTCAATTACCCATTTCTCTCCCTCCTGTGTTCTAAACTGTTTTCCTCTTCAACCCTCTCTCAGCTTTATTTCGATCTTATTATGGACCAAGCACACTCTTTGGATCAAAACAGAAGCACAATCACTGTGTCCATACTGGGTGTGTGAGTGTATCTTGCATGTATTTTATATTATAAGATCAGTGTTTCACTGAAATTGGCTATTTTTTTTTTATTGTGTGATGCAAAAAGTCTAGGAAACAATAGTTAAAGGTGCAGGGTAAAGATTACAAGAGAAAATCAAGAAATTAAAAGTTTTCTTTTGTAAGATGAAACAAAAAGCAAAGATGTCAAAGTAAAATGATGGTATTAATAAATAATACACAAAAGGCCAGTGAGTTAATGATCAGAGGAATGACGGTAAGAAAGATAGAAGGAGAAGAGAGAAAGAGAGGGAGCTCAGTAGGGGAGGTATCTCCCCAGAGCCCATCTGTCTGAGAGACCGGAGCCCATCTTTTATTACTCAGCATAGCTTCACCATGGCAACCTCCCCCGGCAACCCAGAATCACATTTCTAGCTTCGCTTCTCAGAGGACGCCTTTGACATCTTACTAATGCATTCACCAGACTAACACACACACACACACACACACACACACACACACACACACACACAAAGCCACAAGACCAGAAAGCAGAAAAAAAAAA